TTCTTCTTCACTTGTGTATATGTTTTAGATGTCCTTTCTTCTTTGCTTCTGGTATTTTCCTATCTTTCAATTGTTAGGTTTTCTGGATATAAGCAATTTTCATTTGTCACTTAATCTCAGTCAGTACTGCAGTTTCTATCTTTATCTTTAAATAATAACTTTCTGTGTTTCTATTTTAGAAATGTTACCTCCTCTCTCCTGTCTCTATTTTATTTTGTCCACACATATTGACACTGCACTTTGATGTCTTGCCTTTAAGGTTTCCTTCCTTCCTTCCTTCCTTCCTTCCTTCCTTCCTTCCTTCCTTCCTTCCTTCCATCCATCCATCCATCCATCATAATTTATTGGTGCATAGACTGTTTTTGCAGAATTGGTAGCAGTTCTCTTTCTTTAGTGTTTGTTAATTTCATTAAAGGCTTATCTTCCTTTTGGTACTTTCGCCTTCAAAAGCTTTCACTGGTGCAATATGATATTGCATCTTCTGTGTCACAGTGCATTGGCCGTGGAACAAACTCTCTAAGAGGATTTCCTGACACTCTGATTACTGAGCTTAGCTGCCAAATCAAAATTACATTATTTGCTCAGACTTTTTGTGAATATTGCTGCTGTGTGTTGTGACTGCTGTTTTTAATCTGCTCTTTTTATTTTGAGGGACAACATTTTTGTGCTATAAGAGATGCTTTTAAGAATAAGAACAGCATATCTGTCTGTCTATCTATATCTTCAAGATACCTTAGAAGATATTCCTTACTTAAAAGAACCTCTAGTACTAGAATATGAAGTTAGATCAGCACTCTAGTCATTACCAAGTTGGAAAGCTACAGGAACTGATGGAATACCCACTGAAATATGGCAAGCAACAGAAGAAAAATCATCAAGATTCTAACTAAGCTATGCCAGCAAATCTGGAGAATGACAGTGGCCAACCCACTGGAAGAGGTCAATCTACATTCTAATACCAAAAAAAGGAGACTTAACAGAGTGTGCAAACTGTCATACAATATCCTTAATTTCACATGTTA